CAGGGTCCGATGCAACCACCATGGTCTATGCCTCCTTGGTGGACATGGATGCAACCACCTTGGGCCATGCCTCCTTGTCCATATTCAACTCAACCTTGGGGTAGGCAAGTTAGACTACGATAGCCTGGTATTCTAGGAGCACGACCCTAACAGTAGCAAGTCTATGCTACAGCGTCCCAGTGGGCTCCGACGGATATTGAGTCGCCATGCACACCGTGTCTCTCTCTCAATCGGATCCAAACTGGTATATGGATACTGGGCGACGTCTCATATGACATCAACACAAGGTAATCTATCGTCTTATGTTAATATGAGCAAAGATAATGGTGTTACTGTTGGTAGTGGTCAGTCAATTCTAATTCATGATTACGGTCATACCTTATTACATTCCCCAACCCACCTTTGTCTCTCAAACATGTCTTGCATACTTCGAATATTTTTAAAAATTTAGTGTCTGCTCGAAAATTTACAACTGATAATAATGTGTCAGTGGTGTTTGATCCATGTGGGTTTTCTGTGCATGATTTACATACGGGGAGACGTCTAATAAGATGTGATAGTACCAACTCTCTCTACCCAATCACTCCCACCAGGCCGCATCCAACCTCCTCTCCTTCTGCCTTGCTTGTTTTAACGCTTTGGCATGACCGTTTAGGTCACCCGGGCGACTCCATTTTATCTATTCTTCAGCAAAATAAACTGATTATTTGTAATAGTCCATCTAAGTCTACTACTTGTCAATCTTGTGTACTGGGAAAACATATTCGGTTGCCTTTTGTTCTTTCAACTTCTCAAACTTTCATGCCTTTTGATATTATTCATAGTGATCTTTGGACCTCCCCGATTTTGAGTTCTTCGGGATATCGTTATTATTTTTTTTTATGATTATTCGAAATTCTTGTGGACTTTTCTCATTGCTAATAAATCACAAATATTCTCCATTTTTACTAAATTCCAAGCTCATATTCGGACCCAGTTTGAATGAGATATCAAAACCATACATTGTGATAATGGGGGAGAGTTTGATAATGCCTCTTTTCAGTAATTCTGTGAGTCTCATGACATTTCTTTTCGTTTCTCCTGCCCTTATACCTCCTCACAAAACGGGAAGGCCGAACGAAAATAAGATCCATTAATAATATCATGCGCACACTACTTATTCATGCCTTTTTGCCACACTCTTTTTGGCATCATGCGCTTCATAAGGCAACCCATATTTTGAATATTCTTCCCAGTACACTACTTGCCGATGTGTCTCCTCTACAAATTTTATATCACTGGTTCCCTCTTATTCTCACATTCGGGTTTTCGGGTGCTTGTGTTATCCTCTTATTCCATCCACGACTATTCACAAATTACAAGCTCGATCCACTCCTTATGTTTTCTTGGGTTATCCCGGTAATCATCGAGGCTATAAGTGTTTTGATTTATCCAACAATAAAATCATAATCTGCCGACATGTACAATTTGATGAAACTATATTCCCTTTTGCCAAAGTCCATCAACTTAGTACATGTGATTATGATTTTTTGAATGATGGTGTGTCGTCGTATCTTCTTCATCAAAACCAACCACAACAACCACCACTTTCTTCTCCTACGGCCCAGCCAGTCATGTCTTCTCCAGCCTCTCACTCATCTGTGAGCAGACAGTTCACAGTTCCATCTCCTCCAAAATCCTCACCAATTCGGCCCAAACCGCCCATGTTCCATTCGAACGCCCTGTCACCCGCAACCAGCATGGTATCTTTAAGCCAAAAACTATATTTGACCCATCCGATGCCCATACTATCACGGTTACGAGATCTCCTATCCCCCGTAACCCTGTGGCTGCACTTCATGACCCAAATTGGAAGTTGGCTATGACTAACGAATATGATAATAATATGATGCTCTTATTAAAAATAAGACGTGTGATTTGGTACCCCGTCCTCCTAGAGTTAATGTCATTTGTTCTATGTGGATTTTTACTCATAAAATAAAGTCTGATGGTTCGTTTGAGAGGCATAAGGCCTGTCTTGTAGGTGATGGTAAAACTCAGCGTGTTGGTATTGATTGTGGAGAGACTTTCATTCTGGTAGTGAAGCCAACAACAATTCGTACCGTGCTTAGTCTTGCCCTGTCGAAACAATGGTCGATTCATCAATTAGATGTAAGCAATGTTTTTTTGCATGATGACCTCAAGGAAACAGTTTATATACAAAAGCCTATGGGATTTCAAGATCAAGTGCATCCTGATTATGTCTGTTTACTGCGTAAATCTCTCTATGGGCTCAAACAAGCCCCTCGGACGTGGTACAAGATGTTTGCTGATTTTGTTTCTTCCATTGGTTTCTCTAACAGTAAATCAAATACTTCCTTATTTCTTTACAAACATGGGTCGAATATGGCATACCTACTGCTTTACGTTGATGACATTATTTTGACAGCGTCTTCTGAGCATCTTCGCAAGTCTATAATGACTCATCTCAACTCTGAGTTTACTATAAAGGATTTGGGTTTCTTGAACTATTTTCTCGGCATCAGTGTGACTCGACACAAGGGTGGGTTGTTTTTGTCACAACAAAAATACGATGAGGACATCATTGATCGAGTAGGCATGCATTCTTGTAAGCCCAGTCAGACTCCAGTTGATACCAAGCCAAAGGTGAGTGCCACCAGCGGTGCACGGTATGCTGATCCAATGCAGTACCACAGCCTTACGGGTGCCCTTCAATATCTCACTTTTACGCATCCGGATATTTCCTATGCAGTTTAGCAGATTTGTCTCCATGTGCATGACTCTCGGGATGAACATATGAACGCTCTCAAGCGTATCATCCGGTATATCCAAGGTACTCTTCATCTTGGTTTACATATTTATCCTTCCTCCATTACCGATCTTATCTCTTATACGGATACGGATTGGGGAGGCTGTCCCGATACTCGACGATCTACCTCCGGGTTTTGTGTATTTTTGGGTGACAATTTGATCTCATGGTCGTCCAAACGTCAGCCTACGCTTTCCCGATCAAGTGTCGAGGCAGAATACAGGGGAGTTGCCAACGTTGTCTCAGAATCTTGTTGGCTTCGTAATCTTCTTCTCGAACTCAATTGTCCCATCCGTAAAGTAACAATGGTTTACTGCAACAATGTGAGTGCTATCTATCTTTCTGGAAATCTAATTCAACACTAGCGTACGAAGCACATTGAAATGGATATTCATTTTGTTCGAGAAAAAGTTGCACAGGGTGAGGTTCGTATTCGTCATGTGTCGTCTAGGTACCAGATTGTGGATATTTTCACTAAGGGGTTGCCCCTTATATTGTTTGGCGATTTCCGGACCAGTCTTAACGTTCGAGATCCTCCCGTTTTGACTGCGGGGGAGTGATAGACTACAAAATATTCTCCAAATATTTTGTATTTACTGTTGTATATTTAGTTGCCTAAATTATAGCCTAATTGTTAGGATTGTATCTACTAATGACTGTGTATATATTGAACCCTATGGTAATGAGAAAGGCACGGAATTACATTCTGCCAACATGAAGGCGATTTAATTCAAGACCCTCAGTTAGACAGACGGTTAGTTGGTCGTTTGTTGTATCTCAACATACGAGGCCTGATATCATCTACACGGTTCATATTTTAAGTCAATTTGTTTATGATCCACGAGAACCTCACCTCTTGGCAGCTTATCATTTACTTTCTTACATCAAGGAACTCCTGGCCTCGGTTTATTTTTCCTATCTACATCAAAATTTGCAGTTTAGTGGGTTTGTTGATTCCGAATATAGTGCCTGTCCTGATACTCAGCGGTCAATAACTGGGTATTGTATGTACTTTGGAGGCAGCATCATCTCTTGGAAATCCAAGAAACAACGTACTGTCAGTAGATCCTCTTGTGAAGCTGAATACAGGGCTATGGCTTCTGCAACATGTGAATTAATTTGGCTAGCTTCCCTCCTTTCTTCGTTTCAAGTTCATGTGCCATTTGCTTCTTTGTATTGTGACAATCAATCTGCAATTCAGTTGGTTTCTAATCAAAAATTTTATGAACGAACATAGCATATCGAGCTAGATTGTCATTTCATCCGAGAAAAAGTTTGAGGTGATTTTCTCAAATTATTTCATGTTCGATCTCATAACCAGCTTGCGGACATTTTCACTAAATCCTTACATTCTCTTGCTTTCAAGATTTTTGTTCACAAGATGGGACTCTTCGATATTCATCGGCCCCATCTTGAGGGATGTTAGATATAGGAAGTCAACAGAAGTTGGTTTTCTGTTATGTAACTAACGTTAGTAACTGATGTTAGTTATTTTCAGCTTGTACTGCTATTTAAAGAATGATTAATTCCTTCTCTTGTAATTTTTTTATTTTTGAAGATATAATAAAGATTTTTTCTATCTTTACAAACATGATTTTGGAAGAAAAAAATTGATGATTAGCATGATTTTAAGATGAAAAAAAAAGTTTGGTAATTAAATCAGAATCACAAAAATAATTAAACTAAATACGTAATCCATCATTAAAATGAAAAGTAAAAGCATGTCCATCCAAAACTAGTCATTCAAACAATCCAACGAATATTAATTAGTAAGTAGTTTAATATCGTTTAAGCAAAGTCTCAAGTTCGAATAATTGTATATGCATAAAATATTTACACAACAAAATCAAATGTACAACCCGAATCGATCCAAATTAATCATAATAACGGTAAATTTCTTGAGTGACCGCTCATGAGAAGTTGAATGATGAAAAAGATGATGTTTTCCGGTCACAGTCTCAGTCTCACGCCATTGACAACTATCCTTTCATTTTCACAGCACAGATATATTGAAAATACCAAAATACATATTTTAAAAGAGTCAACATAAAACTGTGCGAAGGATACATTTACATTACAATCCCAGAATACATTATATATAATCTTAACATCAAAGTTCTCAAACTTGGGTAACTTGCAAAGAATCTAAAGAATTCCTACTCTCTATATATATTTCACTTTCACCTCTTTATTTTTTTACCTTGGACCGGAGAGTTCCATGGCATAGGAATCCAAAGAATGTTCATAATCATCATCATCCTCAATTCCTGTGCCCAACATGCTGCTCGATTCATCATCGTAACTTTTTCCATCGTGTTTTGATCCACTGGTAGGGTGTGGCAATGGCATACCTTTGTTGCCGAAGCTGTTGGGAAAGTGGTTCAAGGTGGAATTGCTATGACTGTGCGATGCTGTCCATTTCTCGGCTAGGCCATCGCCTTCGAGCATCCGGACCACTTCGGACATTCTCGGTCGGTGGGCAGGAAGGTATTGAGTGCATAGCAAAGCCACTTGGAGCATCTCCCCCACTTCGATCCTGTCATAGTTCCCTAGCTCTCTGTCCACCAATACTTCCACTTTCTTTTCTTGCTGTATTTTCTTTACCTGTCACGATAAAATTCGAATGTTTCTACATGCTCGATTTCAACTTTTAAGATTCCTAAACATCTTTCCCAAAGTGTATAAAAGGAGATACTTTCATCCAAAGGTACTGCCTTAGAGGATAAATGCATGTAAATTATGACTTGTTAACAAAAACAATGGCGGCATCCATCTTAAACCTGAAGGTTTTCCGGAATAATTATCATCGATCACTGTCCTTTTACCAGAAATATCATTTAGCATGCCTACAGAGGTCTTAGGGGGTCACGAAAATAATAAGTAAGGCATAAGATTTCTATGGTTGCTGAGCAAACTAACCCATTCAAGCATTGCTCCTTTCTGACCAACTGTTTTTCCGAACTCGAGAGCTCTCATTCCGGTTATGAGCTCTATCAAGAGAATGCCAAACCCAAACACATCAGTTTTCTCCGAAGACTGACCAGTCGAGAGGTACTCTGGTGCAATGTGCCCAACAGTGCCACGGACAGCAGTGGTGACATGGGAATCTGCATGATCAAGGAGTTTTGCAAGGCCAAAATCACCAACAATAGCTTCACAATAATCATCCAGAAGAACATTAGCTGCCTTCACATCTCTGTGGATTATTTTTGGATCACATTGCTCATGTAGGTAAAGAAGTCCCCTTGCAGCTCCAATCGCAATCCTCTTCCTTGTATTCCAGTCTAAAGCCGGTTTTCCTGCCAATCCCAGTTCATTTACATTAGAGGTATGCAAAACCGTCCTCGAATCTAATAAGAACAAATAATATTCCTCAATTCCAGTCTTGAATTACAGCCTATTAAGCTAACTCATTTTTGTTTGCAACCCATGTTGAAATAAACAATTAAACCATAGCAGCTATGAAACTCGAGAAAGTTAAATCGGCAAACATTTATAAAACACCTGAACCGGCTGAAAAGAATGATCCTCCCTTTGGGTACTTATTATTTATAATATTCAACCCAACTGAAGTGAAATGAAAATAAAGTATAAATAAATGATCCCCAACAAGTGTTGGACTAACATTTAATGAAAACTATTGTCAGCTGGTAACTATTTGGAACAGTAAATAAATTTAAAAAGAACTAAAAGGGGAATAATTACTCAAAACATGGTCGGGATCCACAAACTGGACCATAATTTTTCACATTTCAAGCAATGGTGGTCCATGGTAATATTAGACGTTGAAAGTGCAACAATACAGTGGTTGTGCAGTTATTCACCAGACAAAATAGGTAACCAACTTGTCCAGCATGATAATTGAATGAGAGAAGTTACAGCCAAGCTAGGACTAACCTCTGAGCCTGGATGCGACACTTCCATTAGGCATATAGGGGTAGACGAGAAGTCTTTCGTTAGAAGTAGCACAATATCCAATTAAACGAAGCAGGTTACGGTGAACCGCCAAGTTGATCATCTCCAACTCGGTCCTGAATTGCAACTCCCCGAAACTTCCCGTAAAGTCTTTTAGCCGCTTCACAGCCACAAGGGTCTCGTCTCCTAAATTTCCCTTGTAGACATTACCAAATCCTCCTGTGCCTAGTATGTTCTTGGAACTGAAGTTGTCCGTCGCAAGCTGGAGTTCCCTGAAAGTGAAGTTTCTAAGGTTACCGAGGCTAATAAAGCCCTCTTCCTGTTTGTCTGCAACATACATGTGACAACATTAAAACACTTTAAACAACCATATAAAAGAAAACTTTTAACAATTTTTTAGTTGTTGTCACCAACCACTAATATTCAGAATCGTTAGCCTCTTCAGTTTATTTCTGTTCCAAAGTAGTGCAAATGCTAGAAGTATGAGAAAGGCAAAACTGAGACTGATTCCGAGTGCAACAGCTAATCTCTTGGATTTTTGCTCCCCTGATTTATGAGGCAAAATAAGAAATACATGCATAGACCATTAATAAGTAGAGCCGTAGGGTATTAATAGTTGGGGAGTGTTGTAAGTAGGTTTGAAGAGAGTTACCATTTGATGAACCCAGGGAAAATGAGAAGGGAACGGCGTCAACAGTTCCTGAGCAAGCTTCAGTAGAGCTGCTTCCACAAATCAATGGATTTCCCACAATACTGGAATCCATGCACCAATAGGTAAGGTTAGAACTAAATGATTATAATAACTGATCAGAGAGCTTCAGCACATAAATCATACTTGAAAGTTCTGGCAGGGAACTTGGGCACAGGTCCACTGAGATTGTTATAAGAGAAGTCCCTAAAACACCAATAATCAGATTCTGAACATCGAAGCGGCGGTCCGAGAAATATATGGAAAAATAAAGAAATTCACACTTACAAGAAACCAAGTTGAGGGATTTTTGCTAAAGATGCAGGAAAAGGCCCAGACAAGCTATTGTTGTTCAGCCTCCTTCTCTCATTACAGGACAGAACAAAAATGTACTCAGATGCCATAATCAATGTTAAAAATAAGACAAACACATCACAAACATGATATGCAAACATAAAAGCATAAGATTTGAATCTACAGCAAGATTTTTACGATATTTTAGGATCCCATCCTATAAATCTATTAAACTCTACGTTCCATAGCATACAAAAACCAGTGGAGTGAAAAAACTTACAGGTACTGCAAACTATTTAGCTGTCCAAATGACCCTGGAACTTCACTGGAGAATCGGTTGTTAGATAGATCCAAAGTCTGCAGTTTTGTAAGAGACCCGAGCTCGGGTGGAATTTTACCAGATAAGTTGTTGTTTTGCAGCAACCTTCATCAAAGAAAACTAAAATAAAAATGCTAATCCAGAGAAACAGGGAAACAAAATTGCGATGTCTTGTTACACTTGGCGAAGATTGGTGAGATTTCGTATCGTCCCGGACAAAGTTCCTGATAATGACTGACTTGGAGCTCCCCTGAACAAAAAGCAAAGCAAACATTAACAGCAGAAGAAACAAAATTAAAGAAGAAAGCGTTGAATAGAGTAGAGAAGCTAACAGGCCAATAACAAGATTTTCATAAGAACAAGTGATCATTGCCCAGCTACAAGGATCAACAGAGTCTTCATCCCAGTTATTTAACACCCCGTGTGGATCATTCAACTCTCTTCTTAAACTTATCAACGCTTCCACTGCAAAAAAATAATAAGAAGAAAAAAATATCAAACCCCATGAGAAAAATTACTTCAAAAACAACCAAGTGAATTATCACCCACCTTCATGGTTGCGAGGCTCATATGACAAAGAAACAGTAGAACAAGAAAGGATGATGAAGAAGAAGAGGAGGAGATGATAAAGACCCATTTTCTTAAAACTCAATAAAATCAAATGCTAGTGAAAAACCAACATTCTCTCTGGTTTTAAATTCTGGGTCTCAAAACTAAACCAAGAAAAAAAGAACTTGTCACCACCCTTTTTCTTTTTCCTACTCTCTGTGGCAAGGCTTCCTTTATTGGGTTCTTAACTGTGTCACCCCTCTCTTTTTCTCAGTCCACAAACACAACTTTTGAAATAAACAATAATACTTGTCATACATATAAACAAATAAACAAAGCAAAAGCCTAAATAGTAAAGACTATCCATTTTTCTTTTGTTTCCTGTAAAAAAATTTTAAAAAGTAAAGAAACTGAAACAGAGAAAATCAGGTGGGTGATACGGGTGTCAGGACGAAGAGTGTGCAAAAATTGAGAGAGGCGTGAGTACCGTAAAATTTGTACTCACTGGACTCCACTGCTTCACCAACATGTAGCCCCTTTATCTATTTATTTATTTTTTAAAACATTTTTATTCACTTTTCCTCCTATTTCACTAACGTTGGAGAAGAAACAAAGACAGTGAACCGAAAATGGAGGAGGATATGTCATTCCTATGGGGTTGATAGTTACTAATATTTACATACAATACACTATAAAAAATTTTAAAAAAAATCATTTACTTCATTATATATTATTTTTTAGTTTAATTCATTTTAATCATGATACCAATATTTAGAGTTTAAACATTATTATATTACTTTTTTATAAAGAATTTTTTTAGGGTTCTTGAGGGGCAGACTATGTTTTGGTGTAGCTGCATCCAAGCCAGAGGCGGGGTTATAGAAAGCACAATATGAGTGATGGAACAGGGTCTCATAATAGTAAGGGTCTCGGAATAGTAAGGGTCTAAAAAAAATATATTTATTATAATAAAAATCTCATTTTTTTTTTGTTTAATTTCACTCTACGAGAAATGAGCTCATCTTCATGATATATCTATCCTATATCGTTAGAATTTGAGTTAGTAATATCACCAATCTCCCTATATATACTGTATTCAAACTTTTCAATTTTTACTAAGGAAATTCGCAAGGGTCTCTTCTTAAGAATTTACATAGGACCTCCAACGTTCTAGCCTGAACAAGCTCATATTATAACCTACGTTTTTTTTAATCGATTTCTTTAAAAATGGTATATTTATATGTTACGCAGAGTATGTTTCTTCACTTTTTGTTGGATGTGAAATATGCCTGCAAAGCTTCATTGTTTACCGCAAGAAGAAACCTAGGGCTGGAAGAGACAGAGTACATTTACTATAAATAAATAAATAAATAAAAGAGCAGTAATTTAATTACATTGATTATTTAATTCAAAATTAGTCACACTATTAATAAAACTTAGTAAATTACTCATTTAGTACATAAATTATAAGTTTTTGCTCATTTTAGTACTTAAACTTTTATTTTTTCAAAAGCATGTTTGACGTTTAGTTTTTATTTCATTTTAGTACATCGCTATTAAAAATTTTGTCACTCCTATTTTGGTACTACAATTTAAAATTTTCCAATTTAATTACTCAACTTTCAAATTGCTCTTATTTTAATCACTCTAATTTATTTTACTAATATTTCTGTGACATAATTTTTTATTATTTTATTGATATATAATTAAAAATATTAAAAATTTTGAAAGTAAATTAGGAGTAACTTAAAAGTTAAGTAACTAACTTAAAAAAACTAAAACTTTAGTGACCAAAATAGGAGTGAGAAGATAGTTGAGTGATGAATGATGTAATTTACTCATAAAAATGTGTCACGTGCAGATTACTCTTTAAGTTTTTAGCTGCGAATACTAAAACCAAACAAAAACTAAACCTTATGTATTATTTTTAAAAAATTAGGTATTAAAACGAACTAAAATTAATAATTTAGATACTAAACACATAATTTATCCTAAAAAAAATTATGGAGTTTAATATCAAGACTTGATGGAATGAGCTTAGTTAAATTGTGTAATAATAAGATATATTCTATTATTATAAAATATTATATTTTGATTTAAAGGTGGTATTAATAATAATATGAATATAGTCCATGTAGCATTGATGGCAGGTTGGTTTTGGGAGCAGAAAAGCAAGCGATGCATGCATGCATTCAATGTTCATGAATTGACGATTATTAAGATAATAATATTTCCATTGAAATAATAACAATATACTTAACTACATGTGTTCAAACGAGTAATTCGGTTAACCGATCGAATTAAATTATTCAAATTTTATTAATCGGATTTTTTTCTCAATTAACCGTTAATCGAACCGATTTTTTTATTAAAAAAATCAATCGAATTGAACTAAACTCGGTTAATTGAATTAACCAAAATTTATAAATAATATATATTATATATTTAACATTTTTTGGTTTAATTTGTTAATTCGGTAAAAACCAAGTTCAAATACCTCTAAAGCTAAATAATATATATATATATATATATATTAAATATTTAATAAATTCGGTTATTTAATCAATTTCGAACCAAAATTTAAAAAAAAAATCATTAATCAGTAACCGACCGAACCTAAAATTAACCGACCTATTAAAACAGTGAACACCTCTGTACTGAACTGAAATTTGGTCAGAGAGGACGAAGCAAGATGCGCATGAATACCAAACAAAGCATCGATTTGGAAATTGGCTAACTCAGCCATCTTTTTTCAATTTCTCAAGCTTAATTAATTGTACTCTTCAACCAATTTTACTCGTCCTTAAAAAAACGACAGATCGACAAGAAAAATCACATATATTAGTACCATTTTTAACGTTTTTTAATTGAATATTTGTGCGATCATACATTATTAAGACGTCTCTTAAAAGCATAAACCAATCGATTTTAATAGTAAAAAATTATTGTTATTCTTTGAAGTATTAAATTTGAGTATCAAAAATGTTAGGTTGTAAACGTTTAATATTAAATAGTTGAAAATTATCCTTAAACAAATAGTACCTTGTATTTACATTAAATTAATAAAAAAAATCTCTCAAAATGTTTCAGAATTTTATGTTTTAAAAAATCTCTCAAAATTATCGAATAGTTGAATTTTTTTATTAGGTCAATAACATACTTTCTCTAAGACAATGAAAAAAAAATCATTTCTTACTCATTATTTTTACATGAAGAAATACGTCGATTAATTATTTGTATCTAGTCTATTAACCGACTAATCTAAACTAAATTTTGTAAAGGTCCATAATATGAGCGACCCTCCCAATTTAATTTGCTCCATACATAAATGTCAAGATTGTATATAGAATGTTGAAAATTCAATATTAGCCTATATATTCACACCTAAATTAATTTGATGTCATTGCTTACATCAATTTAGTTTTGATGTCATTGCTTACATCAATTTAGTTAGGTGAAAATTAAGTTTTTTTCTCATATTTTAATGAGTGGTTTAGATTGTTTCTTGTAACCTATAAATACCCTACTTGTATTTGAGTTTTATCATCCAACAATCAAAGCTTAATTATAAGCATTTGAAAGCTTTCTTAAGAGTTCTTCCCTTTTGCAATTTTGTGAGATTATTCTAAAGAGAGTTTTTTTTTGGATCAATTAGAGTTTTTACTCTATTTTGATTCAACAATTGGTATCCGAGCCACGTTTTTTAAGATCTCTTGAAATTCTGAGTATGCTCTGTGGCTGCAGTTTTTAACTGATCTTCCACATCAGAAAATATTTCTTGAGTTATTGTCGAGGTTATTACAAACCTTGTGGAGCTTCTTTGTGTTTAGAGTAATTTAGTACTCTGCACGTTTGTTACTCAAGCTTGTTCGGTGTAGTCAAAGCCTTGCCGTTAAGATGGGTGATCTTCAAGTAGTTGGAGGAATCAAGAAGCTCAACAACAAAAAACTACAACACGTGGGAAACATGTATGGAGTCATACTTACAAGGTCAAGACCTTTGGGAGGTTGTCGGTGGTGTTGAAGTTACACAACCGGCGACAGAAGATGCCAATGGAATCTTGCGAAAGTGGAAAATTAAAGCAGGCAAAGCAATGTTTGCTTTAAAGACCACAATTGAAGAAGAAATGTTGGAGCACATCCGGGATGCTAAAACACCAAAGGAAGCATGGGACACTTTTGTTACACTCTTTTCGAAGAGGAACGATACAAAATTGCAACTTCTCGAGAATGAACTTCTATCAATGGCGCAACGCGACATGGCGGTTGCCCAATACTTTCACAAGGTGAAGTCGATATGCCGTGAAATTTCAGAATTAGATCCGACAGCTGCTATTGGGGAAGCCAGGATAAAAAGAATAATTGTCCATGGTTTGAGACCCGAATATCGAGGGTTTGTTGCCGCTGTACAGGGATGGCCGACACAACCATCGCTTGTTGAGTTCGAAAATTTGCTTGCAGGTCAAGAAGCCATGGCCAAGCAAATGGGAGGAGTCTCGTTGAAGGGTGAAGAGGAAGCGCTCTACACCAGCAAAAGCAGAGGCACTTTTCAGCGGTATACTGGCAATGAATCTAAAAAGGATGGTGACAAGGTGAAAATTACCAAGGAAAGGAAGGCCCTCATTCAGGGGGAGCTTCCAAGAATCGCGGTAATAGTAGAAAGTTCGATGGCAAGTGTTACAATTGTGGGAAGATGGGCCACATGGCAAAAGACTGTTGGACCAAGAAAAAGCCTGTTGAAAGTAATACTGCAACTTCTTGTTCGAAGGAGAATAGTGAAGATGGTTGGGATGCTGAAGCGTTATTTGCTACGGAGGAAGAAGAATTAGCTCTCACGGTAACAACACCAGAACGGATTGACTACAAGAATGATTGGATCGTAGATTCTGGCTGCTCAAATCATATGACGGGTGACAAACAGAAGTTACAAAACCTGTCTGAGTACAATGGAGGTCGTGTGGTGGTGACAGCTGACAACTCAAGGTTACCGATAACTCACATCGGTAAGACAATAGTTACTCCTCGATATAATACTAACCAGGTGCAACTCCAAGATGTTTACCATGTCCCAGGAATGAAGAAAAATTTGCTATCTGTGGCTCAACTAACATCATCAGGCCATTATGTCTTATTTGGTCCCCAAGACATGAAGGTTTATCGTGACGTCAAAATCACAGAAACACCAACAATGGAGGGACGACGTTTGGAATCAATTTACGTGATGTCAGCAGAGTCTGCATATGTAGACAGGACAAGGAAAAATGAGACATCAGATCTATGGCACATGCGGTTAGGTCATG